GTCTGATGGGGTCTGGCCACACTGGGGTCCTCCTACCCCAGCTTCCCAGTGAGGTAGGCCCATGGGCACTGCCACTGTGCCGGGGCTGCCTGGGCTGGGTGGGGAACTGAACCAGGTGTCCGTGCGGCCCCAGCCACTGTGCAGCACCAGCGCCTTCCCAGTGGGCCGCCATGGCTGGGCTGACCTGAGTGCCATGGGCATTATCCGGCCACTGTCCAGACGAGGGGCCACAGTGCACTGCCCTCCTGCCTTGCAGACACTGACCGCATTGGGGACCGCGACATGGGAGTAGGCAGTGGGGCTCCCTGCCGCAGAGACACAGCTGTGTAGAGAGCTGCTCTACAGACGGGTGATCTAGTCATTGAAGCTCCAAGTATAACTGTAAGGGAGTCCCCTCAGAAACTAGAGCAACAGGACCAGCAAATGGCACAGAGGTTACGTCGCTGGACTCCCACATGGCCAACCACAGTTCGAGTCCTGGACACGGTGGCTTGAAACTCACGTGTGCCCAGAATCCCGAGAAGGGAATGGAGAAGGGACTGTGGCATGGCCATCCCCCCTCGGGGGTGACTTCTTGCTTTTTGTCTCTCTGTCTCTCTGAAGAGCATATGTGCTCTATACAAAAATCTCTCTTTAGGGGACCAGCAGGTGGCGTGGTGGTTAAGGGGAGGGGTACTCCCACATAGCCAACCACAGTCCAAATCCTGGACCTGGTGGCTTGCTTTCTCACTCTCTCTCTCTCTGGTCAAATTAAAATAAATGAATGAATAAATTTAAAAAATCAAATAATTCTTTTTTTGTTTTGAAAGGTTTTTGCTATAGGGTGCGTGTGCTTGCCAGAGAGACAGAGAGAGACAGAAAGCGAGAAATCACCTCCCAGGGGGGATGGCCACGCCACAATCCCTTCTCCTCCATTCTCCTCTCAGGATCTCGGGATCTCGGGCACACATGCCTGGCCGGAGTTTTAGCCACTGGATCTGGGACTTGAACCGTGGTCAGCTACATAGGAGTCTAGCAAACTAGCCATTACGCTAATTGCTGGTCCCAAATTAAACAAATAATTCTTAAAAACAAAACAAAACAAAAAAACCCTCTCTTTTAAGAAAATTAAAAAAAAAAGACACTAGAGCAAGAGAACACAGGGTGCGTTTCAGGATGAAGGGGCTTCCTGCTGGGCGGATTCCAGCTGCCGTCGCAATGGACCGCAGGCAGCTGCAGGGGTTCCCTTGGTGGGTGCTCTCTAGGAGCCAGCCAGGTCACTAGGGCTTCTGTGGGCCACGGGGCCCGGAGTCAGCGCCCACTGCCCATCCGTGGCGAAGCTCTGGGCACCTCCCGGGGGGTGGCCGAGCAGGCAGCCAAAGCGGCCGGACCACCCGGTGGGCCTACCTTCAGGCAGTCCAGGAAGAGCTTCATGCCGTTGAAGTTGAGGAACATCTCGCAGTTGTCGGGCGTCTCGTCCGTGATGTTCCACAGGGCGCTCCAGGAGAACTCCATGACCTGGTCACACTGCGGGAAGCGCTGGGCTCAGCCAGGGCTCTGGGGGCGGGGGAGGGACCCTTGCCGTGTGTGGACCTCCCCAGGGCCAGGGGAGGGGCGGCGTGGCTCCACGAAGACCCGACTTACCATCTTGTCCAGCAGCTTCTTCTGAATCAGCTTCAGCATGGTCTGTGGGCAGAGAGGAGGGTCTGGTGGAGGCCAGGGCACTGCCACGTCCCCAGCCCCGAGGGCAGGCAGCACAGTGATTGCACTCCCTGTGAGATGGGGTCTCCAGGTCCCCACTGCTCGAGGTGCTCTGTCCAGACACGGGGTCCTCGGGATCCAGGGCTAGGTGCTGGCCCTGCTCTTGCAGGCTCCGGGGCAGCCCTTCCCTCTGTGGGCTTGAGCTTCCCCAGCCACAGAGCAAGAGACCAGATGCCCCTTAGTGCCCTCCTCACTCTCCCTCCATCCTCCGGCCACCTCTGTCATCTCCTGTGGCACTCTGCGCCCTACGCTGGGAGGCGCCCCAGCCAGTGATGGAGAGACAGGCCTGGCGCCTTTTCCTCTGGAGCGCACAGCCTCGTGGGGAGGCCGACATCGCACGTGCTTATCTAATCACATCTGGGGTGAGGAGGCGCGAGTGACTTGTTAAGTCCAGAGGGCTGGAGAGGACAGAGAGTTCTAGGTGGAAGGACTGCCGGCCATGAGCAGTAGTCACGGAACCCTCCTCTGGTCTACCCTAAATCCCCTCCGCAGCCACCCCAGGCCCTCCTGGGGCTCTTGCTCAGAGCACAGCGGCGGCGCCCACAGGAGGAGCACGGCGGGGTCCAGGAGGAAGGTGAGGAGGTGGCGAGCAGCGCCAGCACGTACCACCACGAAGCCCATCTTGCCCACAGCCTCCTTGTGGTCGTTGTCCACCTGGCAGACCAGGGCGTTGCACAGGTGCACGGCGATGCGCTGGATCGACTCGTCCTGCCGCGTGGGGTTGAGGATGCTGAGCAGGAGCTCGTTGACGCGGCGGTACTGGAATTCCAGCTCCTCGGGGATGCTGAAGTTGCAGAGGGTCAGGCAGCAGTTCCGCTGCACCTGGGCCGGGGCAAGAGACACCAAGGAGCATGTTGAGGGTCGGACTCTGGAGCAGGGCTCTAGAGGCACGAGATGATCTGGAGCTGTGATGGCCCAGGAAGGCTTTCTGGAAGAGGAGGCTACAAGGCTTTTTTTTTTTAACATTTTTTTTAAATTATGAAATATTCATAAGGAAGAATACACAAAACACAAACATAGAGTTTTTTCCAAAAACAATTATTTATTTAATTTTATTCATTCGTTCATTTCTTTTAATTTGACTAGAGAGAGAGAGACCCAAAGAGAGGGAAAGTAAGAAAGCAAGCCACCAGGTCCGGGACTCAAACTGTGGTCAGCCATGTGGGAGTGTTTCGTGCTTTAACCACCACACCACCTGCTGGGCCCTCACAAACATATAGTTTTACAAATAATTACAAAATGAACACCCACGTAACCACCACTTGGGCCTGCAACAGAACACTGCTCGCACCCAGTCATCCCTGAGTGCCCCTTCCTGAGCACAAGCTCCTCCCCAGCTATAGAGAACCACCACCTTGCTCTCCCATGACCACGGTAATTCTCCAGCACCTCGCTTCTGTCCACACAGGTCTGCACGACAGTCGCTATGACCATGGCTCAGCTGCGTCCGTCTCGTCTCACGTGGGACGGCGCTCCATCACAGCACACCCCTACGGCTGACGGGTATGGGGTGACTTCTGCAGCTGGCTACTGAACAAAGTGCGAGGCACGCATCCTGGCACCCAGGGCCATGGGCTTCTCTAGGGCACACATGCCTAGTGGGGCTTTGGGTCACGAGGTGTGCACACCACACCTTTGCTGGGAATGCCAGGTGGGTGTCCAAAGTGGCAGTGCCGATTTACACACCCGCCAGCAGTGCAGGAGCACGGCCGCGCATCTCAGCGCTCTGCACTGAGGGTTTGTCTATGTATGTTTTAGTTTGCTAGAAGGTGCATGTGCTCACTGAGAGGGGCGGAGGAAAGAGAGAAGCACAACCCACGGGGTGGTCAGTCACAATCCCTTCTCCACTACTTCGTTAGGACGACTGGGCATGCATGCACACGCGCTGTGGTTTTCAACCCATTGGTGGCTGGAACTCAAACCGTGCAGCAAGCCATGTAGGATTCAGCCAATGGATGGCCCGTATACTGTTTTTAACAGTGATCTCGGTGCAAGTTCCTTGTCATTTAATTTTCTCTCTTCCTTATTAAATATGAGAAGTTTACCATACTTTATGAATCATGTAATTTAGACAAGGATACCACCCTTGACGAACTTGGTGTCCTATCCCCCCGTATACATAAATGTCTTTTTTTTTTCTTGGAGACGTTTTTGCTATCGGGCATGTGTGCTCGCCAGAAAGAGTGACAGAGAGACAGAAAGCGAGAAATCACCCCCCAGAGAGGATGGCCGCAATCCCTTCTCCATTCTCCTCCCAGGATCTTGGGAACGCATGCACACACACCCGGCGTGAGTTTAAGCCATCGAGTCTGGGACTCGAACCGCGGTTGACTACATGGGAATACAGCGACGTAGCCATTACGCCATCTGCTGGTCCCGATAAATATCTTTTTAATTTGAAAAAATTTTAAATTACAAAAGCAATACTGTAAAATACAAAAAGCAATATTGTAAAACGTACAAGCCTATTTAATCAGAAAGTTAAAGTCTCCCATTTCACTCCCCAGAAGTAATCACTATTAAGATTTTGGTGCACGCCCAGCGGGGAAGGAGCTGGACCACTCTCTCCAAAGTCCTACAGGGTCCACGTTGGAGTGACTTCCCCAGATAAGGATGCCAGACATTCTGCTGGGGTCGAGAAGGATGAAACTGAACCACAAAAACAAGTTCTGTCTGGAGCAGGAGAGATGGGATTGTGAAGCCTTTCACTTCCTACTCAAACACCCTTTACTTCCTTTTTATTTTTTGTTTGTTTGTTTTAAGAATTATTTATTTAATTTTAGTGCCAGCAAGTGGCATGGTGGTTAAGGCGTTGGACTCCCACAGAGCCGACCGTGATT